ATGAGTAATCGATATGGTTATAAATAAAAGGAGTTTTATTTATACTCAAAGTTTTGAGGCCATGTGGGATTAGTATTATTCTTGTGTTTCACTTTGCATGTTTTGACTTCCAGAATAATTGAGTTTACTAAGAATAATCGAATTATTCAAACGGGCCACAATCATTCATATGTTGGAAGTAGATATGAATGAAGACTGTCGTGAATTGGTGTGTGGATTGTCTAAAAGAGTATTAGACATAAGCAAATGTTTGCTGCAATATTCATGACTTCTTATGAATATGAATTTGAGATGAATTGTATCACGAGTGATTGGTGAGACGATAACATCTTATATTCTTGAAACCGCGATGTGTGAGTTGTATCTTGCTAATCGGTTGCACATTGATAATATGTAAACGCACTAGTAACTTGGTGTTATAAAACATATTGTTGTGTGTGATTTGGTTAGTGAGTGCAAGCAAGCATTGTATCAAAGTTTATCCGTTCCTTTTATCCAAGGTAGGATAAAAGCGATATCTTTTGGGCCCCTCGATGGTTTAGTGATGACAAACGTAAATGCTCGGCCGGGCTAGGGCTAATTTGATTTGTTCAATTAGTCAGTCGTCATAAATCGGGAATCGAGAAATAGTACAAAGAGAATGATTCGAAATCATGTCTTATACGATATCTAGAATGGAGGAATATATGATCCCTTATCTAAGGACACGCGTATCTGATAGGATCAGAGTTGACAGCGGCTTTGGAAAGCTACGATTGCAGATCAGGATCTGAAGTCATACGCAGAATAGTTATTAGACTTATCCAAGTGGGAGACTGTTGGATTAGTGTCTAAGTCCATAACTATTTTGGTATGTACTTGACCCGATGGTGCATGGTCCTTTTGGGTTGCCTTCACCAAAGCAACTTGATTGGAGAAATAAATAAAGAGAGAGAGAGGTTATTATGATTTATTAATATGTTATAAGAATAATATATTAAAGGAGAAATCATATTTGTTTAATTAATATTGGTCAATAATTAATTAGGAATTAATTTTGTGATCAAGTGTAATTAATTAAACTAGAGGGGCTGATTTGTAATTATGTGATAGTTACAAAATAAGGTAAGGATTATCTTAAATATAGGGTGAACGAATTTAAGGAGATAATGCCTTAGAATTCGACTAGGATAAGGGTTTCTAATACTTATCTTATGGTTACTTGGTGGCAAGCAACTAGATAAGGATAAGACTAAAACCCTAATCTTTACACCTATATAAACCCCCTAAGGCTCATGAATTCGTCTAAGCCTTCCCAAGAAGTCCTAAGGACAAATTCCTACTCCTTTCCTCTCTCTTTATACCTTCTCCATTTGCTCTTGGTGTTTGTAAGCCATTAGAGGAGTGACACTTGTGACTCTAAGCATTCCAAAGTCAATTTAAGGAGGAATTAGGATTGTTATTGCTACATAACAATCAAGGTAATATCTTAAACCTAATTATATGTTAATATCGATTTCCATATGCTAGAATTAGGGTTTATAATCTTGGATTCAAAGCATGTACAATAGAGAAACCTAGATCCAAGCATTAGGGTTTGTATGAACACATAGGATGTCTTATGACCAAAACCCATCACATCGCACCAACCTCATCATGCAGGATCTCACAAATCCTAGCATCCAACTCGTCTGTGCTCATCTGACCGATAACCTCGGGTGGTGCTGACCCACCCTGACCGCCCTCTTCTGCTCCCGATCCTGATCCGGATCCGCTCCCAGCATGCCTCGTAACCACCATACTGAAAGAAAATACCGCAGACATCAGATACCTCCCACTAACCCGGGAACTGACTCTCAATGCCGCCCTAGGGGTTATGACTTCCTTGATATGCGTATGGGTCCTGTGCTTTTAGTAGTACGGGCCCATACTACCTTCCATATCTACCCATATTTATACCAAGTATCACCACAACACCCTAGTGAAGAACAGGCATACCAAGCACTCGACCCTCACTCCTAGAGGGACACTGGAAATCTCATACATAAAGAAACCCTAGGCTAGCAGGCATCACAAATCAGGCAACACAATCATGTAATTCCTGAAGATCCCTAGCCTAGTACTAGCATGATGTTCTATCATATCACATAAGCAAATAACTTGCATGGTGTTTTGGGGCTACTTACTGGCTCCGGCTGATCGTACCTCCACGTCCCCTTTTACTCATTTTGAAAACCATTTTAAATTCTCTTTTGAAAACTCTTCTTGATTTGAGACTGGATTCACACGAATGTTCCTCCAATTCATTCAAACCAAGGCTCTGATACCAACTTGTAACACTCTAAAAATTCAAACCAATTTAAACTTTTCAAAAACAACCAAGTTTTGTTAAATTATTACAAAAAGGTTTTCAATACAATTATTATTAGAGTCTTCCTAGAACCATATCGTAAAACATAAACATGAGGAGCGGTACGATCACGCCTTCGCCTTGCCACGGTCTCCTGAAGTACCTGAAAAACATTAAACCACAAATGTAAGCCCGAAAGCTTAGTGAGATACCCCCAAAATACCAACCACATATACCACGCATAACATATCATAACCAAACAGAACAGCCATATATTTCGGGTCTACTGTGTGACTGGTCCGCCGCACCGGGCCTTCAGTTCACCTGGTCCACCCTCTGAGTCTAGCCATATCCCTCGAGTCTGCAGTGTGGTTGGTCCGCCCGCACCGGGCCTTCAACCCACTTGGTCTACTCTCTGAGTCTACTGTATGACTGGTCCGCCCGCATCGGGCCTTCAGTCGGCCTGGTCCACTCCCCGAGCCTTGGCACGTCTGGCCCACCCTCGTGGAGCCTACAGCCTATCCGGACCGCTCGCTGGGCCTTCAGGATAATCGGTCCGCCATGGGTTTGTTGGCCTACAGCACAAAGCAGGACCCGCCTCAACCCAACCCCAGTCAAACAACCATGTGCACATAAACATACAATCATATAACAATTCACATCCAATCAAACCGATCTAGTAGATCACATAACATAACACACTCTAAATAGGATACCGACCTAACCGGTCACTAGCATAGCATCATCCTATATACCAGGATACCAACCTTAACCAGGTCTCTAACATATATCATCCTAACTACCAGGATGCAAACATAGCAAAGCAACAACATAACAACGATACACAGATTACAATCCAATAAAGGGCCGACCTTGGTGCCTTAGACCCTGTTGATATAGTGAGGATAACTCACCTTGCAACTGCTGACTGAAAAGATAAGATCACGCTGCTCCAACCTCTGACACGAACTCCACCACTGACAATACCAAAAGACTGAACTCCATAAATACCAAATTACCCCTGGAAGTCAACTTGTGAACTCTTGGTCAAAGTCAAAGTCCTCAGTCAAAGTCAAACTTCCTGACTGACCCTACTCGCCGAGTCGCCCCAAGACTCGCCGAGTCCTACGAACTCTGAGCCACTTCCTACTCAACTCACCGAGTCGTCCCTTGACTCACCGATTCACAACTCAACCAGGAAAGGTTAGGACCTCAAGACCAGACTCGTCGAGTCCAAGAACAGACTCGCTGAGTCGAAGGCTAAACCTCAACCAACTCGCCGAGTTGTTCTTCCAACTCGTCGAGTTGCTGCCTATCTTCAAGCAACTCGCCGAGTACACCCATGTGACTCGCCGAGTACCACTAGCTCTTAACCCATACAGAGGCTTTCCAAGCCATGTAGGGACTCAAATCCATAGATATACACTTCTACAAGCCATCCATCACGTAAAGTGGCAAACTTTACATGAATCCAAAGAGATCTAAGCATAATATACTCTAGGGATAGGGTTTTGGACAAAAGAACTTCACCAACAACTCTTGAGCATAGACTTTATGGCTTTCTGGATCATTAACAACCTAGATCTAAGGTAGCAACCTCAGATCTTACACCAAACTTGATATGGACCTCATTCATACCCCAAAAACCCCACAATTGATAGATCTAGATGCACAAAAGCTCAAAAAACATATTATTACCTCAAATGAAAGCTCCAACTGAAGAATAAGCTAAATCTCTGCAAAGCCCCTTGCTCCAACCTTCTTGTTCTTCCCTTCCCCTCCAAGATTCCTCCTCCAAGGCTCTAAATTCTCTCCAACTCTCTCACAACCGAAAGCTAGGGTTTCTGGACTTTAAAGGAGAGTAAAGAGACTGGGGAGAGGGTATTATGTTCTTTATATAGGGCTCAACCCCCGGGATTATGGTTTTCTTCATACAACACCAACTCGCCGAATCCATCCATGCAACTCGCCGAGTTGGTCACTTATCACGCGACCTGAAACGCGACTCGACTCGCCGAGTCTATCCATAGACTCGCTTAGTCGACCTTCTTATTTACACTTTTAGCCCTTCAACTTTACTTCTGATTTTCCGGGATGTTACTACTCTTGGACTATGAGATACCCAATACCGCAAAGTTACCCAATCTCAAAACCTACAACGACACCACGGACTCGGAAAACCACATCGACACGTACGAGTGGACCATGATGTCCCTCAAACTCGACGAATGCTTTTGGTGCACGTACTTCCCTACAACACTCGATGGAAACACTGGAACGTGGTTCAAGACACTCAGGCCAGGAAGCATTTACAACTTCAGTTAGGTAAAATATCTCTCCTTAAGCAACTTCATGCAGCTGCACAAATACAAAGGAGACTCACACTTTATAATCGGCTGTAAACAGAGGGAGTGAGAGACATTCAAACAATACAAAGGAGACTCACACTTTATAACTTCAGTTAGGTAAAATATCTCTTCTTAAGCAACTTCATGCAGTTGCACAAATACAAATGAGACTCACACTTTATAATCAGCTGTAAACAGAGGAAGTGAGAGACAATCAAACAATACTTCACATGATTCATAAATGCGACCCTCGATGTGCCAGTACATGACGAATGACTGATAGATTGGGCATTCACATGGGGCCTTCTCCCTGGCCCGCTTTCCTAAAACTCATGAGAAAGGAACCCATACGCGAGTAGAGCTGAAAGAGAAGTCGGAAAGGGCGACCGACCAAGCTGGGATGTCATGCGGGTGGGGAAAAGGTACCACGGGCAGAAATATACACTGTTGCCGATAAACCGGTAGCTAGGGGAACGGAAATGCGCTACTATGAATACCAATAAAGCAGAATGCATGAAACAAACAAATGCTCGGTCCTGAAACGTGTAATGGAAGAAAAGAAGCTAAAGGGAAACATAGTGGAGATTGCTCGAAGCTTACGCATGACGTTCGATGCAGAAAACCCTAAGGATAACGCTAAAGGATGAAACTGTCGCCATGAGATCTTGATCGTACACCATAAGCGGGGAATGACGGTACACGCGGTCGACTTATTGGGAAACAGTGGGCAATAAGCGATCGAATCTTACCTATCGCCTTAAAGGTACTGGCGATTTCGCCTTATCTCATGAGAGGAACGGTATTTGCTGTGGGTGCGAGCGACTGATTGGGAAAAGGGTTTTCAATTCGGTGACACCCTATAGGGACGATAAGTCGTCCCTATAGATGTCCATTAAAACGATACCGCATAGGTTTTTGATATATATATATATATATATATATATATATATATATATATATATATATATATGCATACATATACATATATACACACACGCACACTAGCCGTTTACCTGCGCCAAGCGCCAGGTGCGGATATTTTATTCAAAAATTAAATTGTAGAGACGATTAATTCTTTTGCACAAATAGTTTACTACATATAAACAATTATCAGTATAATTAAAATAATAATATATAAATGTACACTCTTGATTACAAATTCGATTATGTCAAACTGTGCAAATGTTAAAATAATAATATATAAATATACACTCTTGATTACAAACCCGATTAAATATTTGTTTTTTTCAGTATAATTATGATTTATGTTGTTGTTTTTGTCACAACAGACATGTAACGGATAAATCGACACTTAGGTAACAGATAAATCGACACTTAGGTAGCAATTATATAACTCACATGAGCTCGATCCACTCCAAATTTCCCATCTTTTTCCACCTTTTCACTTTCTCTTACCTTTGACTTTGACTCTGACTCATTAACAACCCCTAAAATCCCCCTTTGTCTCAAACTCCCCCAAGAAACAATTGTTTTTCGTTTCATCTTATGCCCCCACACAACACTATCCTTATCCCACCTTTTTACCTCATTAAGCAACAAACTTTCATTCTCTTTCACATCATCTTTCATTCTTGGAACAAAAAATTCTGGTTTTGCCCCTGCCATCGCCATTCTTGGAACACCCAACACGTTCACAAACGAAGAAGGAGCATCATGTCTTTTTTCCCATTTGAAGATGAAAAAGCAGACAAGAAAACATCCTTAACATTTCTCATGTGGTCCCCATTTGACTTTAACTTTGAGTACTTATGGTCCTACTACCTTTTAAATGTCCAACCACTACATGATTTGTTTTAAGCCTTAATGATTCCACCTTTTTGTCTTCTAACATTCTGGAAATTGAAGAGAATGAAAACTTACCTTTGATGGAGATGGAGGGTAGGATCTTGGGGGCTGGGGTGAAGTTTTTTTTGGAGGGAGTTGACTTTTTTTGGGCGGTCAACGGCTGCCCCTTCGACCCATCTGACCATTGCGGTCCGTGAAGTGCGATTTGGGTCGTATTCGATTCGTTCAACTACACCTACTGATGAAGTATTGCGTTTTAGGTCAATTGTTCTTTGTGACCGTTCCCCCCCCCCCCCCTCTGTGGAAAATTGTGATACGACCCTTTGAATTTCTACCTACTGACTTGTCTTTACCTGTAACGAATTGCCTAAGTGGCCTTTTAGAGCTCACATTTTGAGCACCTGTAGGAATATGATAAAGTCAGTAAAACTATTTTTGTTTGGATAAATCATAGATGAATTTCAGATAACAATATAATCAGTAATGTTCAAATCCTAAGCACCACATCTCTACAATCAAATTAAGAAAGCTGGAATGACATCTCTCTGGTACTAATTATCCATCTTGAATTGAAAATATGCAGCTTTAAATACCAATTTCTTTTTACTTTATCAGCATATGATTCATTCTTTCAATATATTTGCATTTTTACATGTACAAATAAGTGTTTACTGAAATGTACATGAACAAAATCAACTCTTTATATTTAAAAGAGTATACCAGGGTCTAGGAATGCCAAAGAAAGTTTGGCTTCTGATGTCAAAAAGGTTGTTTCTTATTGTAAAATTGAAGTTAGGGTTCAACAAGAAGAGCAACAAGAAAACAAATTCAAAAAGTCACCTGTTTCATCAGCAATTCATAAAACACGTGTTTTCGGCATTACTATTACTAAATTAACACTCTGAGAGAACCAATATCCCAGCAAAGCTGAAACCTCAAAAACAGAACTTTGCCTTGGGTGACTTTCGATACCCTTAATCATTTTGACCTTATACATACGTGGGTCTTGAGGCTAGAGACACACAGACGACACTCAAACATGTAATAATTTGAAAGAGCTAGGTTTGACATCAAAACTTGAACAAAGAATATGTATTTGCACATTAATTCCGACATCAAATTCAATCTTCATTGAGCCCCTTTTTCAGATTCATTTCTCTTGAACATGACAATTTCAACTTCGAATTTGCATTTAAAAAAAAAAAAAAACTTACGGCTGATAGAGTGCTTGGATCTCATCGGAAAGCTGCTAATCCTCGAAGTAATCTCAAGCGAGTGGTGCGAGTGTAGAGGAAAGAAGAGATAAAGAGAGAGTGTGTGGCTTCCCGTCACCGAAAAAGTGTTGCGAGAGCATAGTAGGTGGCGGCAACGGTGATCAGATACAGATACAGTGAGTGGTGCGAGGTTGGAGAGTGGGTGGTGATTCACTACCAATGATGATGATGACAATGAGTTAGGCGGATGAGGTATGATGTCGGCTTTTCAAAATAGGGTTTTTGCTATTTGTTTGAGGAAAAATGCGAGTGTAGATGACAAAGGAAAAAAAATAGTATGTTTACTTTTTTGATTCAATTTATGAAACGTCAATGTTAATGCCATTAATTTGTCAAACGAAAATGTGAAGATTTAATGAAATTAATTTGTAAAACGGAAATGTGATAAGAGTATTAAAAGGTATGAATAATTGATTATATATTATGTAGTAGATATAGTACCTCTTAAATTTCAAGAAATAGGTAATATCCTTAATAATATTAATATATATATGTATATATATATATATATATATATATATATATATATATATATATATATATATAGGGATGATGTATCGTCCCTACAGCTTTTTCGGATACCCATGCATTATTTTTGTTCCCGCTCAAACTACAGAAACGATTTATTGTCGCTTTAGGTTTAGAAGTCAAACTAAATTTGTCAACTCTATTGTGACGACATGTCGTTCCTATATAATCATCTATAGTGACCACATTTGTTGTCCCTATAGCTTTCATCGCTGTTGACTCATATTCTTGTAGTGTCTCTTTTTGTCTCTCCACCGGAGTACCAAAGACGGTGTGAGTATTTGGTATTCATCTATCGTTTTTCTCTTTCTTTATGTCATTATTCGATATATAAAAACTAATTGTAAATATATCTATCTAAAATATATGAAAAGACTTGAGTCTAAAGGTGCAAAAAAAATACAACTTTCACTCTATTGAATAAACAAATTTATTTCTTAGTTCTTATTATTTGTTATTCTTCTGAAATGTAAATGATAGACAACCGAAATAATTACTATGATTCGTATAAGTAATTAATTAGTATGAAATGTCAGTAATTAAACCAAATGGTAAGTAAAGCTTAAAATAAAAATCAAACAAACGAAATAAAGAAATTTATTAGTATGGTTAGAAGTTTATAATATAAATGTATCTATTAATTACCGATTCTTATTTTATTTTGTTATACTAATTTGTATTTTTGTTAAAATTACTTGTTTGTTAGAATATCTAGTTGTGTTTTAGTATACATTTGCTCGATTATGTAAGATTATTATGTAAATGTAGCTATTTGCTAAGTTATATGTGGTGAATATCAGTATAAAAATCAATCTATATTTATATATATATGGTACGTTTTGAAATTTAGATTTCAACCCCTTTAATTCTAATGTTTGTGTTCCACTTTTGTTCTATAGCACGAGACTCTTCAAGATTCAAGCATGTTTAATCATTACAAACATAAAAAACTTCAAGTTCTACTCGTGCCTTCCAAATAAACAATGAAGCGTATGATTAGGGATGGCAATGGGGCGGGGATGGGGCGGGTTTACCATCCCCATCCCCATCCCCGAGTCTATAACCTTATCCCCATCCCCAACGGAGGCGGGGAATTTAATCCCCTCTCCTTTAGATTTTGGGCTTATCCCCGGCCCATCCCCGACCCATCCCCGTGCTATCAAAAGTTCAAAACCACATGTCATAATAAATCAACTTAAGCCACAAAAAAATCAAGTTTAATACACTATCAAAACCATATCTCATAATTAGATTGTTTACATCAATCATAAAATTTAACAACCATCAAAGTGAGAACATGATTAAACAAAATAAATTTCAAGTCTTTGATTCTATTTCTTTGAAAATTACTCAACATCCTCATCATATGCAACTTTCTGATCAAAAGTCTTTGGTTCTCCTTGCTTTTTACCTGAAACATATAGAACTTATTTTTTAGAGAAAATAATATTTATACAAGTATGATATAACAATTGATATATTTATTAAAAATTTACCTTGAAGTTCTTTTCGTAACCAACTTTGGCTACACATTAATGCCCCAACTGTTTCCGCTTTGATTCGGTTACGTTGTTTTGTCACTTTATTCCCGCTCATGCTAAAAGATGATTCCGAAGCAACTGAAGAAATTGGAATGGCTAAGATATCTCTAGCAATCTTCTGTAATATTGGAAACTTAGAACCATTACACTTCCACCACATTAATATGTCAAAGCCCTCCCCATTCGGTAACAACTTCTCAGCTAAATAATCATCCAACTCAGTTTTTTCCAATCCATCATCCTCAGAAAGCATATTCTCGAAATCCAACTCCCATGTTGATTTGCTTAAAGTAGAACCCCTTCCCTCAAATACGTTTGTTTCACATTGTTGTTTCCAAGAAGCTCCTTGTTTTGCATTATGTTTCTTTTTATACTCTTCAAATAACTCAGTAATTACGTTGCGTACTTGCATAATCTCACTTCTTGCTTCATTCCCATATAACTTTGGAAAGAAATAATTGATCAACTTTAATTTATACCTAGGGTCTAAGACAATTGCTACACTCATAACATTATGTATTACATTCCAATACTTCTCAAATTTGGTCAACATAGTTGATGCAATAGACTTAATAACATTATTATCTGATACGCTCCAGCTCAACAACGATAGTTTCATGTCACAAATTAAAGGGAAGAATATGTTTGATGTGGGATATTTGGTACCAGAAAATATTTCAGTCACTTGATAGAACAATTTCAGTTTTTCACAAACATTTGATGCCATATTCTATTCATCTTCACTAGGCAAGCAAACATAATGTTTATCTTTTTTGCTCAAACGATTAAAAACTTCTTTGTACTCCAAAGCAACACTCAACATCATATAAATGGAATTCCATCTTGTTTTGCAATCAAGAAGTAACTCTTTTTGGCAATTAACACCCACTTGCCGAGCAAAAAGTCTAAAATCTTGTGTTCTTTTAGGAGAACTTGTCCAATAGGAGACACTATTCCTAACATTTTCAATTGCATTGGCAATCACAGAAAATCCATCTTGCACAATAAGATTAATTATGTGCGCACAACATCGCATATGAAATATTCTCCCCTTCAAAATTAGCGATGAAATAGTAAGGGTACCTAAAAGCTTGTCGACGATGGCATCATTTGTTGAACAATTGTCAAGTGTTAATGTTGACAACTTGTTGTCAATGTTCCACTCCAAAAAGCATTCCATCATAGCTTGTGACAATGCATCAGCAGTGTGTGGAGATGGCACATGTATAAAGCTGCATTAAACAAAATACAACAATTACAAACTTCATCCAATATAACTTACAAATAATAATATTAGTTATAGTAAATACCTCATAATTTGATTTTGTAACTTCCAGTTGACATCTATATAATGTGCTGTGATTGCCATGTAACCTTTCTTTTGGTTACTTATTGTCCACATATCAGACGTGAGAGCAATCCTACTAGCATTCTCTTCAAAACATTTCAAGATATGACATTTTTTTATCTTCGTATACCTTCATTATATCGCCCTTGACTGTATTACGACAAGGCACCTTAAATAAAGGTTGAAGACTTTCGGTATACTTTCGAAAACCATAATGTTCAACAATGGAGAGTGGGTAATCATGAATTATAATCATCTTTGCTAGTTCATCTCTAGACACTTCAGCATCAAATGAATATTTACTCATATAAGCTTTACCATCAACAGTTTTTTGTCCTTGAACCAATATATGTTGCCTAATGTCTCTTGTATTTTTGCCAACACATATCCTGTAATGATCTTTCAAATGTGTTGTTCCATCATTGGATCTACCAGTCAGTTGTTTCTTGCAATGTACGCACTTCGCCCATCTACGAACACCATCAACAAAAATCGGATCAAAATGGTTCCAAGCAGCGGATTTCAACCTTTTTTTAGGATTATTTTCTACAACTTCTTGTTCATTATTTTCTACAGCTTCTTGTTCATTGTCCTCAAGTTCATCTTCATCATTCATGATTGGTTGTTTATCATTTTCTGGTGTAGCCATCTAAACCTACAAAAAAAAAAAACACAATTTGTAACATCAAATTAAATATAGTCTAAACATCATACAATCTACACAAAAACATTGATTATAAACATAAATTCATCATCATCATCCAAAATCTAAAAAGCAGAGTATGAACATCATAGAATCTGCACTCTACACAACAATATCAAATTGGAAAATTATAAAAACATATTTGGAATGGTTTATTAAGAATTATCGGCACAACAAGTCAACAACATCCTAAATTAATTGTAATGCAAATTATGTCAAACAAAAGATGAGAATTGAGAAGCAGGGAAGCACAATTGTCGATTGGAGTAAGGAGAAAAAAAAATTCCCTAAGACCCTAACCTGTACCGAACGATTGGAGACTTGGAGTAAAGATGAGAAATTGAGAATTGAGTGAATGAGTGCCGCTAAAGCCTGCGACGTTTGGTTCAAACAGAGTAACAGACCACGACGACGTGCTTCACTGCTTCTCCTCTTTCTCACTCTCGGTATCTCGCACTTGCAGTCTCGTGTCAGTCGTGTGTCTCACGAATCGTCAGTGACGGTCGTCACTCAGTCGCCAATTGCCTAAGTGGCCCAAGGGTTGAAGCGAATCGACATAATAGATGATCAATTGATCGTGAATCATGATTTCCTGATTGGAAATTCGGAATATGTTGCGGCCTGCGAGACATTAGGAATTACTGAATTACCGATTCTAATTTCAATTTGAGTCATATTTCAATTAAAGTATATAACCTTTATATCTATAATGAATTAATATAAAGTAACACTAATATATTATATGTATATGTGGGTATAATATAACCGGGGGAGGGGCGGGTTGGGGAATAGCATACCCGTCCCCATCCCCAACCCCACTTTTTGTCATACGGGGATCCCCGGCCCCATACCCGTTACCCGGTTTTGCGGGGAATACCCATCCCCAGTCGGGGCGGGTTAACCGGGTTCCCCAACGGGTCGGGTTATATTGCCATCTCTACGTATGATAATATTGATCATATAACTCATGAAAATAGTTACTTGATCTAAATTCACACCTCACATTTTCAAACGATGATATGTCATATGAATAGTTTAACTGTTTGATATGTATTAATTTGAGTATTTTTGTTGGGAAATATTTTATTGTGATTTGATATGTATTGGTTTGAAGTTGTGTTTTTTGTTAAATAGTTTACTATACATTAGTTTTATCTAATTAATATTTTATAACTTCTTTTTAAGCAAAAAAAAAATAAATGCCATAAATTTGATTGAATGAGTTAATATAAATTTTGAACGTGTAAAAGAATAGGAGTACCTAAACAAACTTTAGTACCGAAACTTTTGTTATTCCATTAAACAATATTAACATCATTCTTTCACTGCCAAAAAGTAGTTAGTGCCATGACCTAAGCAATGAATAAAAACAAAATAAAATGTATAAGTATTAAATTTATATTGGTTAAATATTTTCAATAAATATATAATTGTGAGGCAAGGCAACTTTTTAAACTTTTGAACAAATATATATGGTATGATCGTCCGACAACCTTTTAAACTTTTGAAAAGACATATGGTATCCGGCTTTAAAAGGGTGCAACGTTTGGAAATATTGTTCGTTCTTATCATTATCCTAAACATAAATTAAATGAGATTGAGGAATAAAATACTCTATACATTAATTATTCTTTGAAAATATTAAATTATTCTTTGGAAAGATCAACTCCCATAAAAGTACCCGATCATGTGATAGGTCGGATACTCCTTTTAATAACTAATTTTTTTTTTTTTTTTAATTGCAACTAAACACATAAAATTAGTACCTTGGTTTTCTGAATATTATGAGATAGCTTTTATATATATATATATATATATATATATATATATATATATATATATATATATATATATATATATATATATATATATATATATATATATATATATATATATATATATATATATAAAAAGAGAGAGTAGGGTTTAATTAAAAAAAAAAAAGTTAAGAATGAAGGAATCATTCTCAGCCAATCATTTAATTCTGCCACAAAAGCCTCCAACGTACCGGTGGAAATGAGAAAGGAATGAACATGTGTTTTCCAACAAAACATATTTTCTTAAACTATACTAAGCATTACCTTAATATATACAAAAATATAATTTTTTTTGTTTTTTTTTTTTTTTAATTTTTAAGAAGAGCTATTTTTATCGAAAAATGATTTTGAATATACCAAAATTCATGATTTTTTATTTCCTACAAATAGACATCTATATTGATATAGTTTTAAGATAAAATATTTTTTATATATATATTTTCAGCTATCGTTATTCATAAGTGAATAAAAATGAATCATATTTTTACTACAGTACATTCGTTATTCACTTATGAATAAGCATTATGATTTTTTTTTTTTACAATTTAAGTATCATTCATATATGAATATAACATATACCAAACATAGTATATTCATATTTAAATATTAGACGATGCATTTACTTGTGAATATTATATAATATATTCACTTGTGAATATTAGATGATATATATTCACTTATAAATATTAGATGATATTTTCAGATGTGAATATTATATAGTATTACATGGTATATCAAATGAGAATAGTACATACAATATTCACTTGTGAATATTAGATCGTATATTCACTTATGAATAATAGTTGATATATTCATATGTGAATACTGCACAGTATATTCATATATGAATATTACAAGGTGTTTTCAGAAATATATATAATTTTTATATGTTATTCACATATGAATAACATACAGACTTGCATATTTGTTTTGTGTTTTAATAATCACATATTGATTAAGGTGAGAAAACATATTCATATGTGAATATAACGCGGTAATTTAGTTTATGCATTTCATCAAACAGTTGGAGTGCATACAAGTTAACTTTTTTAAAAATGTGATAAATATGATACTTTGACTATTTAAATCTTACAAAATAGTAGATTGGTAGAGAAATATTTGAAAATTTTCAAACAAAAAATTATTTGATCTTTATCTAACCTTAATTTCGATGTTTTATTTGATGAGCGATGTTGAATGAATGATACGAATTGAGTTTTTTGTTGATTATCGATGATGTTGTTCTAATGATGCTTGGAGTATAATTAATCGTAGATGTTGAAGATATGTTCGTATTGAAGCAGAATTGAAGGTTGGATTGAAAGAGCAAAAAACGAATGAATTTAAACTGTTATCTAATTCTCTACACTTACGTATTTGTGATTAAAGTCTATTATATCATATTTACAAGTTTGTCACCATGTCATTTATGCTTAGAGGCTAATTAAATGAGTGGCTGAGCATGATTCCCCCATTCTCAACCTTTTTTATTTTTTCTCAATTGAACCCACCTATATATATATATATATATATATATATATATA